AAATTACAAATAAATATTTTTGTCAATATTTTCGAAATAAAAAAAAAAGATCCCAAGAATTCTGTAACGACAGAATCTTGTCTGATAATTCTGAAATATCTTGTATACTTTGATCTTCTTTAGTGAATATCGGAAAGGAAAAGGAATATATACATGATCATGCTTATACATGTATAAAGCAACAGATGGATCGTCGGTCTTTCTCTCTCGATCTCGTCTTTTCTTCAGCTACTTTGTCTGGTCTCTCTTATTTTTTTTCTAGCCATCGGGCTCTAATGTGTTCAGCATCGATACGCTAAATAGAGTCGCGTTAACCCGTCGGATTCTTCGAACTCTTCGTTATTCGAACATGTTGTGTATTTATGAAAGAGTCGTAACACATATCTGTTATATTGTACATTATATATTTATCTAAAGCTAGTAAATATCCAGCGATTAATTTGGAATCAATTTTTTTCAAATAAAAATATCGAGTGTTCGAGTTAAAAGCGATTGGAAAAAGAAACGCTTTTCGCGAACTAAGCTTTGGAGAAACAAATAAACAATAAAATCATGTTTTTTTAGTTAATTTTAAATTAACGCATGGTAAAAGGAATGAAAATTTCGAGATGCGTTTTGTTTCTGCACGACGACACGAGGCCCGCGCTTGCCGTCCCGTTAAAAAAAAGTTCAATTTAATCCAATCATCCTGATTCATATTAAGGGCTTGAATTAACTTAAATTGGTATCAAAATTGCCCAACTCGAACAAAGTAGTGTGCATTAGCGAGTAGAAAATTCGACTGGTAATTTTTTGTTAATATTATTAATATAGCTATCACGTAGTAATTAACGTAACCGTTAACGCGATTATACGTATGCGCTAATGCCACGTCACTTTTAATGCGGGAATGCACTCACGTGCGTAGTTTCACAGCAAAGTAGATCGCAGCGAAAGCAGTTAGGTTTCGTTGAGCAAACGCGGTGTGATATAAAGCCATGTTATTCGATCGCGAATAAGTAAAACTGGATTTCACTGACCCTCCGTTATTGGGACACCCGCTATATATTACCCTGGATGCGTAAAAGCCAATCGTCCGCTGGACGGATCGATATAACTGTTGCCTTCTGTCCTTCTTCCGATGAGAAACACAGGTATAGCAATACTCGGCATTTTTGTGCACGCGTAAACGATGCAGAATAAGACTTTCAATTTTGTGATTCAAGAATATTTTTCACAATTATTTTCTTTTTGCTGTAAACATAATATCTGACTTGAAAGTGAATCTATCTTGCAACCTGGAAGCGAATGTCATACGGAGTGATCGAAACTTAACTACCTACTCGCTCCTAATTTTTAAATAAATATATAATTTAGAAACATATATTTATTTTTTTTAAATATCAAGCATCAACACAAGTTTCAACACATCAAAATGATAAAAGTTTTAACACATTGTCAATATTTGCAAGTAAGAAAAATGCTAATTCTGAGCCACAAATAATTAATTCGAGATGAAAGTTTATTTATAATTTTGTGTAATAGAAAACATTTAAAGACGATATGTAAGTATAATTAAATTACTGATACACATTTTGTACACGTGTGTATTCTAATATCTCAAATACTTTCTATTACACAGTAATTACGTAAAACTATAAGTGATATTTTATCGCAAATGCTCTTGCGAATCACGAGTCCTCTAAAGTGGACTTCATAAGCGACAAGGCCGAAAGAGGTCATTCGGGAGAAATTTAGCTTTTCCATTTTCAACATTATGTGTCTTCATATAACCTAACCTTAAATTGGAATTCTATTAAAGTGAAGTTTGATTAAAATTTGGACTTCGAAAGAATGTCAATTTATCAGATTAGTCCTGGCGAGGAATTTTTTGAATCTTGTAACTCAGGAACTATTAGTGTTTCAATATTTTCGACAAGATAAAAATTGGGATGCTTATACACCTTTAATTTTTGATTAATATTTCAAGATAAAAGTATGCAAGATTATTTATATAGGAAAATAAAATATATGTCACTGTGTCTCGCTATCGATAAATCGATCAACCTATAAACCTGCCCTAATTATCGTGAGAGTTCGAGGTATTTCAATAATTGAGTATATGACAACATTCCGGACATTGTATCGGGATATTTCCTCTTCTACGTATTAATTATTAAATGCTATTATCAATTATTATTAATTATTGATAAAAAATTGACGTGAAATCGTTTTATATTAAATCGCATATTTTATACGTTTTAATAAAAAAATTGCATAAAAAATTAATATCACAGCTATTTCTGTTTTCTTCTTCATTCCTACTCGCTTATTAGTTTAATTAACTTTTCGCAAAGTAATCAGCTTTCTATAGAAAAAAACTTTCACACGTTCGCGACAGTAATCACATTTCGACGTTGCGAGAGTTTCGAAATTACTTCAAAATCTTTAATAACGTAAAAAATTTTACATTTATGTGAATATGAGGTTAACTTAATTTTTTCTAGTCTAGCTTACTTGCAATAAAAATTAAAATGTTCGCTTGAATAAATGACTATCATTCGAGAAGTTTGAGATTAGATTATGCGATAAAAATTATTGTACAAAAATATTACAGAAAAAATCACTTTCTTTCACTTTTCCAAACTGTCAAACCAATATTTAACAAAATAATAATAAAAATAGAATAAATATCTAAAATAATAGAGATTTAATAAAGATATAAGGAATATGTAATATAATGACGATATAATGAATATATATAATATAATATAATATAATATAATATAATATAATGAAGATGTGTTTCGAAAGTTTCGCGATAAATAAACTCTATTTAATTTTTTAAACACAAATTTAAAACAATTCAGAAAAATTCGAGCTCTTCAACTTAAAAACGTTTTTCTGCATCTCTCTTGCTCCCGTTTCATGAGAGCAATTCACTTCCCACGGTTACAATAACAGCTATTTATCACAAGCAATTAAGTGAAGCGCGTCGTTCGATAGAACAAAATTGCACGTTCGTGCGTAATAAAAAAATTTAATGATCAAAACAAATAAAAAATAATTCGTAAAACATCACTGATGATCACGCTATCAAAATCTATCAACCGTTGCTTTGCAAATTAAAATATCCTTGACAAAGTAATATAAATGTAGAAAAATGCTTTTAACTCTCGAAAAGGGAAAAAGCAGTGCTATTTAAAAGCTGACGGATTTAAAAAGTGTGAAGGATTTCAATCAACAGAATTTCAATTTTTAAACGACAATGTAGGTTAGAGTGCAATTTTTAAAATTTCGTCTGGCGAACAGATTCCGATGACGTCTTCGACAACACCTGTTTCTCCACGGTGAAATGTCAAATTAAAAGAGAGGCCACGATAGAGTCGCGCCATCGTCGTCTTCCAAAGATATTCTGACATTTACGTTGAAAACGTGCTCGTGTTAAAAAACAAGAAGCGGGAGACGTTTGCGCGCGAACGCGAGTACGGGACAACTTTGATATTCTCAGCGGAGAGTCCGAGATTGAGACGATCTTCGCGACGTGTGTCGCGAGAGATCCTACGATCGTCGTTTCCTGTCAACTACGAGGTACGCATAAAAAGACGCGCGCGCGCGGTTCGCGTTCGCCGTCACGCAAGGCACTTCCTAGACGACGAGATTGTTTGCATCACATTGGATGACAAAAAGCGCAATAAAAAGTTGCGGTATTGCATCGTGTACGTTCCGCTGTGCAAATCCGCTCGCGTCGCAAACGGCTCCGGGCGAGCCTTCTTTTTGCAGACAACACATCGCGATCCGTCGAGAACCGACGTGAATATTCGTATCGTTTCCGCTGTCATACCTTTAGATTAATAATGCTCTATTCGAGGAGTCATTAAAGTTCCGCGTATAATTATATATTTCAATTTGATAAGAACTTGAAAAACTGCTTAAAAAATTAATGACTAGTTAATGAATAAGATGTCGAAGCCGCGAGATTCTCTGTGAGCTAAAATAATTCAACAAGAATTTGAAAATTTACAAACAAGCTACGAAATTTGGATGCGTGACTATTTTTCGAAAAAGACAATAAAAATAAAAGCGATTTTCTCTAATATATTTCCAATTTTTTTGTCACACATATATTTAACTTTATTTAAATATAAACAATTCTTTATATTTAAGTATTTTTGTAAGAAAAAGTGTGAAAAATATATTCTCCCAAGTTAAAATTGATAAAACTAAGTATAGATAAAATAATATCTCTTATCTCGCGCATCAACTTGTGCAATTCTCCGCAACTTAGTTCTACTGCTGATTAATGAAAAGATTCGAAAAAAAGAATCGAAGATACCCCGCATATCTCTCGAACGCGAATGCAGGAGCGAATAAAACCTTCTTTCTCGAAAGAAGCCAATCGAGATCGCGGGACGATGGTGAGTACTGCTTGTTTTACGTTTATGCGCAAGAAAGCAGGAGCGAATGCCTCGAAGCGGCAAAGTAAAACGCACTAAACAAGGAGTTAATTACGGTGTTAGTAAGTAACGTGCATATCTCACGGAAAGTGGGACAACTACAAAGATAACGCCATGCGTGCAAGCGTATAGTTCGCGTTAAATCACTGCTGCAGCGCGATCGTGTTACGTAAACGTTTCAGTGATTGCGGGATTCATGTCCGGCGCGTACGACGTATCGCAATTAGAAAGAATCGCCAAGAAGCTCCCGTCGTTACGTCGTTAACAATCGCCCGTTCGGGCAATTATATATCTCATAGCAATCAATTTTTCATCGTGCCATCAATTTTTTGCCCAATGAGAATAATAAAAACTTCTTGCAGCAATTTGATATTTAAATCAGAACCGTCCAGCACAGAATGTTTAATCAAATTTTTGCGAAATTTATTCGCAGCGTTCAACGTCGCGAAGGTACATGCGATAAGAATTCGTTTTCACACTCGGCTGCTTTCAGCAGCGCTCGCCACTGATCGCCGCATCATTTGGGGCGCGCATTAAAACTAAAGAGACGAGGATTCGACTCACCTGAGGAATGTTCGCGTTGAGCTGGCGGTTCAGGGCGTCCCGCTCCTTCTCGACCTCGGCGAGACGCGCCTCCATCTCCTGCAGCCGCTCCTGGTGCTCGCGCATCGACTCCATCATCTTGTCGCGCTCGTCCAGCATCTGCACCATCAGCTGCTCGAAGTTCCCGTCCTCGCCGGAGAATTGCGAGCTACGCTGGCTCATGCTGTCCTCCGCGATCGTCGGCATCACGTCGCACATCATATTCCACATTTTTGCGTGTCGTTATTATTTTGTGTTACTTGTTGCTGTTGTTATTCCACCACCGCTCCCGCGCACCACCCCGCCGCGGAGCACCAGAGCTGCGAGAGAAGATTCACCGGCGAATTTACGCGCGCGTTCACGAACGACCGCACGCGCGCGTCACTCGTAACCGCGTGACACCGCGTACGCGACAAAACGCACACGCACACACACACACATGACACGCATACGAGAATAGGTCACAAAATAAAGAGACATTTTCGAAAGAGAAATTGAAAATGTTCCTTTACTCTTTGACTTCTTCCGGTATACATACATTCACACACGCACACGCGCATAAATACACAAGCGAAGCGAGAAAGCGGAAACCGGCAGAGATTCCACCGGATCCCGATATCTTGCTCTCGAGCTCATTCGAGCTCATTCGAGCTTATCTCACTCTCTCTCTCTCTCTCTCCTTTCCTCTTTCCCTATCTTTCTCTCTCTCTTTTTCGCTTTATCTCAATCTTTCTCTTGCTCTTATCTGCAACAATTGCGCGACACCTCGCGTAAACCTTCGCTCGCGCCTTGTTTACGTTTTTCTCGCGCGCGCACATTTCTCGCGTGCTTTTTCCGCCGATATCCAAGCACGCTGATTCGCAGCGGATTCGGCACAGTTCTCAGACGAATGGTAAAAATAATAATTCTCACGAAAGCCAACCTTGCAAGCGCTCTCCCGCTTCTCGTTAATCTCGTTAATAATCTTGAACTTCTTTCCCACGTATGGAAGTTATGACAGCTCCGTTAACGCGTCCTATCGCGTGATCAATTTTCTTCTTCAATTTCCGTGGAGCAGCGCTTCGTGTCACACACGCTCGTTGATTGCCGCGCGGAATTGCGCTTTATCTCCTCGCTCTCTGACGAAACACGATCGATGGGCGATCGGTCTTCAGTCTTCCCGCTCGCTGCCGGAGTATCATTGTGTACCTAGAATCAGATCGAGTGTCACGAGATCATTCTGTCCGCTATAAGTAAATGAAGCCGTAGTAAAATACCGCGTCTCTCCGACTCCCACGACGAAGGCTTCCACGCGCGATCCAGATGTCCACGCGCTCCGTTCCGTTATCGACGCCTCTCTCGTGTTGAAAGATCACCGACGAGCGTTTCGCGACGCACTCGCTTCACCAATCTAGCCCGAATGACAGAACTCGCTCGCGCGCGCGGACTGCACGCCTCGCCTCTTTTACTCAATCATATAAGTCGTGACGTTCAATTTCTCGTGACTTCCAGTTACGCGAGAGAAAGAGAGAGAAGGAAGCTCTCGCGCGCGCAATTAGTCGGATCTGAAAGCCGTCGTTCTTATTTGTTTGTTCCATCCTTGTTTATTTGACATTCAGCGGCCTTCCGCTCCTTGCGACATATGCTTCTCCTTCGTTTCTCGGCGGGGATCTCGATAGGACACATAGTAATACTCGATTTCCTGAACGCAGCAACACCCTTGGATCGAATGTTCAAGCACACGCGAACTCGTGCACCGGCTCGCAATCAATCGATCGCCGGTCGGTTTTTGAACGGTTCGCGCCTGGCCCGGCGCGATAGATAGATCGATAGCGTGTCGCGACGTCGTTGACCAGGAGCTGTCTTCTTTCGTCCCACGGAAAAAAAAATCAATCGTCAGAACAACCGAACAGCTTCCTCATCCGTGATCCTTCTACTTGTGACCCTCGTGAGCACAGCCGCAAAGCCCGCGCGATTAATCAATCGCTTTCAAAGTGACTTCTATCATCGCGAAAGCGCTCTCGTCATTTTCAAGCTTCTTCCTTCTCTTCTAAAACTGGCATCTGTTTCCACCTTCTATTTCTCGCAGATATTTTCCGTCCCTCTTGCGATACGCTATCACTCGGTCATCTTCCTACACTCCGTATGCCTCTTGTATTCCTTTTTGCCGTCCGATTCCTATCTCGATACTCCGAAACGCCACTTTGACAGATCGCTACTACGTGGGGGCAACGGTAGTAGCAACAGCGCGGTAGTACTAGTGGTGGTAATGCTGAATGTGCCCCGGCCGATTCTACAAAGCACTCACGATGAGAGAGCGAGGGAGAGAAAGAGAGAGAGTCTCCCACCCCGGGAATCTCTCGCCGCACGCTCTCTTTTCTCGCTCGCGGTGTCGCGACTTTCGATCGGGCGGCTTTCGAGTGGCCCGGTGTCCGCCCGTCCGCCGGGTCGCACGACACCCACGACGATGAAAGCGTGGTTCGATGAGCCGGCGGCGCTTCGTTTTTTCCGTTCCGTCATAGGATCACTCTCGACACACTTCACACGATTTGATTCATCCTCCGGATTCTCGTCAAACTACACTTCTTTCGATGTCTTCAGCCGCTGGCGCTTTAAGCCGAGTGTTTCTTTGAGGAAAAAATGTACCCAAAGGAGATCCGCGGAAGAGAGTAACGGCTTATCACCGTGGACCGGGATCTCGCGACGTTTGCTTATTATCACGATCAGCAAGAGAGAGAGAGAGAGAGAGTAGGAAAGAATGAAAGAAAGAGAAAGAGAGAGATAGAGAAAGAGAGAGAAGGCTGGACGGAACGCGGCGCCGATTCGTACATACGATTCGTACCGACGAGCACTGCCGCTGCGCAGCGCGGCGCCGAAACTCCCCGAGTTCAGCCCGCGGCGACGGCGACGACGGCGACGACGAGGACGACGATGACGACGACGCGGCTGGGCATCATCCCGATGGCGTGTTATCTCGCGCGCACGACGCCGTAACACCCCGACACACCTACTCTCCGGGATTCGTTCCTACCGCCCCAGCCTCGTCTACGCTACACACCGTTCCCGATACCGGCGGCCATCTTGCGCCGATGACGTCAGTCGCCGTGGCCGAAGACGCGCCCGACTCCACCCGAACGCAGTCGCGATCGTAGACCGCGTTTTCACGAATGGCGAAACTAGAGACCCTAGAGCCGAGATAGATGACGCATAAATCGGCGCGCATTATGAATCAACTACAAGAAATAAAAAGCGCTAGATTGATAATTACAGAGGCCCTTCGGGATTTTTTGTCAGACGATCACCGATGGATGTTCAGTAGCGTTATCTAGAATTATTTTACACTTCGAACTACATAGCCGTATCCCTTTTCTCGATAACATTGGTAAACGATATATAACCGTTTACCACAAAATACAAATAAATTTAACATATCAAATTTGGCACATATTTCAATAAATTATTATACAATATTGCATTGAGTTAACTCTGTTGTATTAATATTGTTAAATTATTATCGAATGTTTTATATTAATGAAAGATATATATATTCTTATAAAATATAAAAATAAGAACTTAAATTTTTGCAGTCTAATTAAATGTTGGTATAGAAGACTCTAATCTTTAACAAGAAATATCGACAATGTGAAATTATTTATATCAATCTATTATTGGATACTTCATATTTTCATATATAAATATGCAAACATTTCGTTTGCAAGATAAGAATTGTATGATTTTTTGCAGATAATCGATACTTGGATATGTTGAATTCAAATATAAATATCGCGGCATTTTCGATCGTCCTATACTATATTATATTTCAGCTGTGTGACTAGAGACTGCGCTATGTCACGAGATGCTGGATGATCAATACTATTCGCACTCTGGACCAAAAAGCGGAATCGAGAAGATACACGTCGTCCAGCAACAACATGAAAACCGTAACGCATACGTGTGTGCCAGGCGCCGCCGGTGAGTTTAACATATTTTCCGAACAATCTAAACATTAAACAATCAGTAAAGAAAGAAAGAATTAATCATTATCAAAACAAAAGCAACTTCGATTATCATTGCACACAAAACTATGGGTGTGCAAGATGCGCATTCATTACCACTACATATAACAAATTGAAGATGTTAAGAATGAAAAATAATTTTCAAGAAAATACAGCATATATTTTAATTTAAATGCGGCTTTTTATAATTTTAATGGAAAAAAATTTATTTTAATTCAAGAATATGTAAAAGTTGCTTTGTGTGTTGCGTCATTTTGGTTAATTCTTCAATTAAATCTTTAGTCAAGTTTTTAATTTAATTAATTTCATCGACAATTATATATCTTTCTAATATTGCACTCGCGTAAATTACAGATTTACCTGTTGGGGAGTCAATCGAGGATATCGCCGAGTCGGTAGATGAGTTGCGAGAGAAACTCGCCAACATGAAAAAACTCATGGAAGAGCGACGGGGTGCGACGCTGGGTGAGATTAGCGCTCGAAAAAGAAAAGAAACTTCCGATATAATAGATGGCAACTTCCTATCTTGGATCTTCGGCTCGGCCCTCGTGGTCATCCTCAGCGTGAGCTTCTACGCCTTCTACAACCTTTATCACGCAGTGCTGAAAAAATTCCCATCTCATCACACGGAATTGTAAAGAAGGTGCGCGAGAACGTGATAAAATGCAAGTTCGATACTTTTGCGGCAGAGTAAATATTGAAAAATCAAATTCGCTTAATTTTCCCGTTAAGATAAAGAGATAAAATTATAGCAATGTTTTCTTAAGGAGAAATCTTCATTAAATTGTGAAAATAAACTATGAAAACATCTGATGATTACGAGGTAAGAAATACTAGACATTAATTAATTAATAATTAATTTTTTAGGAAAATACCTTTAGAGGATGATTGGATTCGGATTAACAGCATCATGTTATATAGCTTTCCAACGTGAATAAATTTCATGAATTTTAAGCTACAAATATTGAAGAGGATTGAAGAATGTATTAAAAGTGACGAGCATCTGATGATTGCATTTCTGAAGAGAAGATACAGTGTAAATTTAAAAAACGGAACACGTTTATTTTATATTTGTTCAATGTAGATAGACTTTGTAGCGATAAAAAGCCCGACGAACTTTTTTCCACATTCCAAGATCTAGCGACAATTACTAGAATTCGCGCGATTATCAATCAATTTTCACGGCAATGTGTGCGAAATTGTTCAACCGGCTATGCTAATTTTCAAAAATATTGTGTACGTAACATAAGAAACAATTTCTCGTACAGAATATTAAATCGAACGATAGCAAAATCACAAGTTAAGTGCCTTAAAAAGCTTACGATTTAATTGTTCCGCTATGTGTGTTATAATGTGTTATTGCATCGCATGTGTATGAGATAAACAAATTCAGTTTCAACAAATCGCCCGATAATTCTACTAAATTTGAAACAATTAAGAAGTATCTCGCACACACAAATCTAAACATCGTACACGTTGTACTAAATTAAAAAAAAAATTTAATTCTTATTCTACAATATTGATTAATTGCTATAATCGCACTTATGCAACTATAATTTCTGCATTAAAAATCGTTGTACATGTTATGAATAAAAGATTGAACCACAATCAAATCAACATTTCAACATTCCATTTCAACGTAAAAGCTTCATAATTCAGAATTCATGGTATTGTTGTATCTCATTTTTCTATGTCAATCACTGGAATAAGCACGATATCAAACTTATAAATAAGTCGTTAAAAGGGTGATTTAAATTAACATAGAGAAAATTACTTCATTGTGCCCCAAATCTTTAGCAAAGTTATCAATTAATCTCCGATAATCTTCACCTTGCTAAAATTATACATATATGTTAAATAACAGAAAAGAAGCTATAAGAACCAAAGTGCTGATGTTCGAACTCAACAAATTTGTATTACAAATCAATATAGAATAATGGCATAGATGCAGACATGTTTCAGTTCAATTTTTAAGTCCTCTTTAGTCTAATAAAAATTATAGAGATAAAACATTACTGCTCTGTTGACTTGTAATAAAAATTTTTTGCACACCTGCTGCTTTGGTTCTTATAGTCTTTTTTTTTCATTATAGAATTAGGTCATATTTAAATAATATCTCACATGTCGGCTATTTAGCAAACAAAATACCAAAAATTTATTAGCATATTTATATGCCATATAGTCACAAAATCCATTTTTTCCAAACAATAATGTAAAAATCTATGCTTACCTTTAATACTTCATTCTTTAGCTCCTCTCGTCGGAAAGACAGTTTTGAAATATGACCATGCAACATCTTCATCTATACTGACACAGCAATATATTACTCAAAGCGCGCATCGTCAGCATAATTCTATTTACATAATATTCAAACCTCAATTTCCGTTTTACGAACATCTTTCTTCAAAGCTGTCATTACGAATCTGTAGCGATCTCGGTACGATAGAGTCTTGTTTTCAACGTCGCTTAAAATGTTCTCTAGATTCTTTATTTCAGTACGATATCGCTGAAACTGCATTTACAAAAGTATTTTGATTTTCGTTGAGCATTATGTAAAAAAAATACTTAGCTTAATTTAAAAAAATAAACTTCATAGTTTCACAGATTATCTTAACTTCTCTCTCTAATGTTGCTTTTCTTACCACTCGCTTTTTCTCCGTAAGCTTATCCGTGAGCTTTTGAAGATGTTTATCTGCATCTTTGTGGTTCTAAAACAATATTGTAAAAAATTAAATTGCAACAAAAAGTAATATAAGTTCTTTTTAAAAAGAATTTTAATAAATATAGCAGATAAAAAAATATTTGTAAATACTATCCTTAATGAAAAAATTTTCGCAAAAGAAAGAAGTCGCTACAAAATCAATGAAAGCATACAATATGTTCTAATAGAAATACTTTGCAGCAATATTTTTTTCTTGTGCAAAATAATTTCAAAAAAAATTAAATGTGCAAATATTTTTTTAATAACGTGTAATAATTCAATTAACATTGATAACTAACTTCCGAAAGAACCGTTAATATTGTTGTAGGCAAAATCTAAAAAGAAAGATTACAATTTATAATTCTAACCACACACATTAAATAAAAATCTAATGAGACTAATATAAAAGTATTAATTACTTACGCGCTTTTTTAATTCCATTATTTCATTATGATGCTGAAATAATCATAGTTAGAATCATTTCACAAAACATTCCACAAAAATAAAAAATAACATTTATAACATTTCTCACAAGAATAGTCAAGAAGGCCACAATACATAATTCGACGAAAATAAAAATCGATAGTATCTTGCAGTCATAGATTGGAAGATCTAAAATATTCGTCCACATTTCACAATATAAAGGAAACAATACTTTAACAAAAATTAAAAAATTTATGCAAATTTCTCTCGTTTCTGCTTTAAATTTTTGTCATTTATATATGAATAATAGATCCAAGTTGAATACAGCTACTGACAGCTACACAATTTTGTGATCGGAAAATCGATTTATCGAAAAACAATCACGATCGTTTTCGAGAAACAACTATCGCGATATGTCGAATATTTTAAATATAGCGCCAATTTGCTAATAGAGGTATAATGGAAATGTTAAAAAAATACATATATAGAAAAATTTTTTTATATAAAATCTCGATAAAAGAATAAAATTTCTATTAGAATTATTGGTGCATAAATATTTGTGTATTAATTATATCTTAACAACAATCATAAGAATATTAATTATTTATAATAATTAGACGTTCTTAATGATAGTCACACATATCACTCATTATTAATAACATAAATAATTTCATATTTTAATATTTTTATTATCCTTAATAATTATGAATAATAATATAAATTGTTCTACATAATCTTCGGCGAAGTCGCAATCTCGTGTTACTTTGAATCGTCATATATTTCGAATATAAATAAATAGAACTAGAACACTGTTACCATTTTGAGAACTTCGCGAATGCCGGTGCATATAGATTGCATTTTAACAAAAAACATCAACAGATCGACAACTTCCAACTGAATTGTGTCGCTGGCGTTTAATGTTAAAGCAAATCTATCCGAGATGTGTGTGCTTGCCAGTCAGAAAGAAAAGTGTGAGAGCAAAACGATACATAACCTACAAAGAGAATTTTCCATGGTGTTTGTCGACGAGTACGGTGCGCAAATTGTCAACCAGCGAGAAGAATCGCTCATCGGAAAATTCTGCGCACTTGCCGTCGCAATCACAGATCGTCATCGCCGGCGCCGGAACCGTCGCTAACTCCGTCGCTTATCACTTGATTCAGAATGGATGGAACGATGTTCTTGTCCTGGAACAAAATACGTGAGTTTACATCTAATTTATAACTTTTATTTTAACATTAAATTTATAATCATGTTATATAACTTAATGCTATATCCTAATAAATTTTTACAGCACACAGATACATAATTTTTATTGCCTGTTCAACTACAATTTCTTTGGCATAAATCGTGTCATCATGTGTTACATCTTACAAATTTTTAACATTGTATATCTTTGCAACTGAGTTTTAAATTAAAATTCTAATAAAGCCTGGAAATTGTTTCAAGAATATAATTTTGTTTTCTTTCTAAAGGCTAATAATCCAAAAAAGTCTTTTATTTCTCTTTCAGTTTTTGATTATTTGAAAATTATAAGCGCTGCTATTTGTTCAAAAACAATTTATTTCAATGCAGCCAAAGAATTGGTAGTAAAAAGACATTCGATTTTGTTAGAATATTCTGTACATGGAAAGAAACAGCAATTGATGCTTAATGAAATGATAACACTCTCTAATTCTAGAATTGGCCACGGATCCTCACACTTTGGTTCCGGCACGCTGGGACTCTTTAAACCAATTTCTCACAGAAACCTGATCGCATATAGCATTAAATTGTATCAACAATTGCAAGAAATGGGCCATGATATAGGACTGAGACAGTGTGGTAGTATATATCTGGCACAGTCCAAGGAAAGAATGGTGGCTTTAAAAAGAAGAATGGCCTACAACGTACCGACTGGATTGCATTGTGAGGTATGTAATGTACTTTTTGCTACTAGTTGCAATATTTGATATACATAGTTTAGTAATATTTGCATAGACTGTAATTATTGTGAGGATTTATTGACAAAAAGTCTTATTTTCTTGAATCTTAATAAATATATTTTTGATTTGATATTTTAAATTAAAATAATTATTAGAATTGAATCGTATAAAGTTATTGATTTATTACAGGTTTTAGGCAGAGAGGAATTGAAAAGAATACATCCCTATCTACATGTTGACGACCTGGAAGGAGCAATTTGGGTAGCAGAAGATGCTGTTGCCAATCTAAATGCGATTTGCAACGTTTTAGCAACATTAGCGAAGCAAGGAGGAGCACGATATATTGAACACTGTTATATAGAAGAAGTGAAGACTGAGAAAGGTGCTGTTAAAAGTGTCAAGACTGAACACGGTACTGTTTCCTGCGAATATTTCATTAACTGTGCTGGGATGGTAGATATATTTTCGTACTAGTCCTAAATACAATTGTAATACTCACAACATATTTAATCTGCATCTCTATTCCTTGACATTTTAGTGGGCTCGTGAGTTGGGATTAAGATGTACACCACCTGTAAGAATTCCTGCATATCCTGTGGAACATTTGTACGCGATCGTGCCGCCTTTGTCATTGGAAGTCAGTACATCTTGGCCGTGTGTGCGAGACTTTGACTCGTACTCCTACATGAGAGAATGGCAAGGTATCATTTATGTTTCATATATTTTCTACATCGTATAAAATTTTATCTTTAAAACAATTTTTCAATCTAATTTATTTAAATGGATTTTCTTATAGATGTAATTTCTGCTTTGTGTTATCTTCATTGATTTACACTTTGGAATTTATTTTCCCATATATGGTGATTAGTTCGATTTCTTATACTTAATATGTGAAAAATCAATTAGATTGAACTTATAAATGTTATTAAAAAGGCATGTGTGCACATTTAGAATTGCATTTCTATTATGATAAATCTGTGCTGCTGACAATCACACAGGTGGACTTTTGCTTGGTTGGTTTGAGCCTGATGCAAAACCCGCGTTTGAGAGCAATCGCGTTCCTTCAAAGAATTGGATGGAATACGTGGAGAGCGATCCAGTTCATTGGCAGCCATTATGGGACAAAGTCTTACATAGATTACCAATTTTGAAGGAAGTAAAATATCCAAATATATACAATTGTCCTGACAATTTCACTCCGGACGGTAGATGGATATTGGGGGAAAGTCCCGAGGTAAAGAATTACTTCGTCGCTGTCGGGATGAACGGCAATTCATTGCAAGGTAAGCTTCTTAAAAATATTACTAAATTCTTTAACTTTTTTTCACAACATGACATATAAATAAGCTTGACTGAATATTTTTGAAAAGGTGCCGGCGGAATTGGCAAAGAAATCGCCGAATCTTTGATAAACGGCGAATCCACACAAGAGGTGCTCCCGTTCAATGTGCAAAGATTTCTGGATTTGCACAACAATAAACAATATTTGCAGCAGAGAATGAAGGAAGTGGTCGGTCGGAATTATGCTATATTGTATCCACATCAATCGGAATACAAATATGCCCGTAAATTACGTTGCTCGCCTTTATATTCCGTATTGGAAGAGCGGGGCGCAATCTTTGGTATAAAAATGGCATACGAGCGTCCACTTTACTTTGATCCAACTTACAGACGTAAGTTCCCATCAATCTTGCGACAGAAACTATTGAAATTATCGCTTATGTTTATGTCTGAATTTAAAAGGGGGACAAAAAAAGCCGATTATGCCGAAAGGTAGTTTTTATAAACCAAAGTTCTTCGATTTCATAAAGGAAGAGTTTCAAGCGTGTAGAGAAGGAGTCGGGATAATAGACATGAGTTCATTCTCGAAGATCGAAATTAAAGTAAGTGATTGGAGCAGACAAATTGGTGAGATTTATATATAGTTCTACATGAAAATCAAATCTTTCCAAAGTTGTTTCTGATTGTGATTAAAATTCTCTCAAAATTTAATCATGTTACAAATTAATGAAAATTTGATCAAGCAATTTCTCATCTCGTCAATTCAGTTATCTTTTTATCTTAATGATAAAATTTCTTGCAGTCTAGTCGCGTGGAAGTGGTGGAGTATCTACAGAAATTATGTTCTAACGACGCCAATATACCAGTCGGTGGAATCGTTCACACAGGAATGCAAAATGAAAAGGGTGGTTATGAGAATGACTGTATGTTAGTGCGACAAGGCGAAAGTAGCTATTTTATGGTCTCACCGACGTCGCAGCAGACACGTATTTATCAGTGGATGTCCAGGTAAATGATATTCTGCAAGGTGTAATCAACTACCTTTCTATTTGATTAAATCTTTTATTAATATGAGATTTTAATCGATTTTCTTATTCAATGAAATAGACATTTGCCAGCGGATCATTCGGTGGGTCTTAACGATGTGACTTCAAAATACACGGTGATCAACATCGTAGGTCCGAAAACTACTGAATTGCTGTCGGAGTTATCCAACTCTGATATCAATCTTTTACCTTTTACTTACAAGGTTAGATTTATTTTTTAATATTGTTGATCGTTTTTCTTTTTTATTTTCGGTAGAAATATGTATGTATACAAATTACCTGTTCATTCAAAATAATAGACAGTAAACATCGCATACGCTTCGGACGTTATGGTAATGGCATTCACGCATACTGGTGAACCTGGCTATTGTCTCTATATACCGTCGGAATATGCACTGCACATTTATTCAACATTGATGGCGGTAGGAAAGGATTACGGTGCAAGAGACGTCGGCGTGCTCACGCAGCGTTTTATGAGAATAGAGAGGTTTATTCCATTCTGGGCTGAAGAACTGACGCCATATGTCACACCGTACGAGGCGGGAAACGGCTACAGCGTAAAATTGGATGTTAGTATTGCAATATAAGCTTTATTGTGTTCTGTTTGTTTCATATGTGCAATTTGTACGTTTGAAATCAAGACGCATGGACATTTAAAGGTAGAAAATCTCATAAAATAATAAGATTTGGAAATGTTAGAAAAGTATTTCTATCTCTAATTATATTAAAAATGGGCCAATTTAAGTAGATTTGAAATAAGACAACTCTGGCATGCTCTAATATTAAATACTTTACAATTCTGTACGCAGAAAGATTACTTTATTGGCAAATCCGCTTTACAACGTCAGAAAGTACAGGGCGTGACAAAGCGATTGGTTTTATTTGTACTCAATGGTATGGATTTGAACAAAGATGTGTGGGCCTGGGGTGGTGAACCATTGTATCGGAACGGTGAATTCGTTGGCACTGTTACATCAGCCGGGTAAGCATGTTTTTCCTATTCAGACGGTGCGTTATTACATTATCATCTATTATATTATTAAATTACATAGTATATTATTATATTATTATACTTGCTCTTTCAGCTATGGTTTTATTATGGAGAAACTGATTTGCCTTGGGTTTATCAGTCTCCCCGGAGCGAGACATAAGCAAGAGACAAACATTATCACCACTGATTTCATAATGGATCCAAGAGCGCGTTATGAAATCGATATTGCTGGAACTAGATTTCCTGCTAAACCGCACATTCATCCATTGCCTATACCAGTATTAAGTAGTCAATTGAACAAGAAATATATTCCTACTCCTGTTGTGTCATATCAGAGTGATGTTTCACGTTAAAAATAAAGCTCTAGTCATTTTTGTTACTTGTATATTTTTAGCGAGTAACGTGAAGATTACCTGTGTAGTTCTGTGTGATAAATTATAGCTTACGGCATATGTGATATAAGACTCACAGTATCAGTAATTCTACGTATCGTTACTTTTTATTTCCTAACTATTATATAATTTTTCTAAAAGAATTGTTCTCGTATTTTATAATATAAATTGCAAATCTGCATCAAAAGTATTGTATCGTGTAACATATATTTTTATATTCATAGCATCTCTCTCTTACATGTGCTGTATAAATTTTCATAATTATACAATTTTGAAACCAATTGACTGTTCTTTTAATCACAGCTTTTTTGGTATATTAGTATTTATTACATTTTTCCAATTTTCAACATTATATGTATCTTTCCTATTGCGTTCAAAATTAAAATTCTAATAATCTTCAAAATTGTCTCAAGAATATAATTTTCTTATCTATTTTCTCTCTTATAAATTTTTAGGTTCATGAAAATATATCTTATTTTCAATAAGTGCCTTAATGTTTTTGTTGAAAGAAAATTTATACCAACTTAGTCGTTCCAAAAATTTATAACAAAAAGAACATCTGATTTTGTAAAATATTCCGATTATTTTACTGAATAATAATATTTATATTCCCATCTTTTATACATTGCATCATTGAATCAATCGCGAATTAATTTTAAGAGAACTAATACTTTCTTCGAATTAAAATTTATTTATAGCAAATATATTTATACAAAGTTTAGAAGGCCATTTGTATTTATTTGAAGAACATTGTCTTCAAATTGTTATGCATATGTACAGTAACAGAATAAAGCTGTTTTGGAGAAATAATAATAATAATATTATACTTACATTCTATCGCTTTTTTCTACGGAGAACAGGATTGTTTCATTTTTTACATTCAATATATATATTTATATGTTACATGAACTGCATTCGCTGTCTTCAAAGTTCTATTTTCACTTATTTTATATTAATATATTTACTGTAAATATAAAATAAACTCAATTTGCCACTGAGTGACACTTCCCCATTGTCCAGCTGTAGCTGTCGCTGGCAATTGTTAGTATTATTCACCACAGCACGAATATACAAGTAATGCAATCTCTACTAAAGCTGAATTATTAACTTCAGTAAGTTCTTTTTTCCGAAAATTGTGCTTTAAAAAGCTAAACATTGCAAGCTCATATTAAAAAATTAATTTCGATACTTAATACAAGATATGATACTATATTATGTATGGTGATAATATATAATTTACATTTATCTCTAAAAATGTCTTGTGTATCTTTGATTTCAATGTCACTTCTAATATCACTTTACGATGCCCATGCCTCCAACTCTTTTAAATCGTCGTCTTCCTCCGGTTTGGCTTCTATAAATAAAATTTTAATATTTTACATTGTAACGCCACAAATCACAGTAATGCTTTCTAACAATTCATGTTGTTCAAAACAGTTATTGTTACAATAGAGTTCTATCAAAAAAATGATAGTTACTTGTACGAGTTTTGCTGGGTACAACAGGAACGGAAGTCGGTACTGCTGGCAGTTCTTCTGTCGTCGTATCATCAATACCAAGTAATTCTTTATCAAGTTGCTCTTGTTGAAGTTCTTCCAATTCCTTTTCTAGTTCATCCTCATCAGTCTCCGGGCCAAATGCTATTGGATTGGATATGGCATCTGAAATTTCTTTAGCCACATCTTGTTGTTCTGCTATGTCGTCCATCATATCGTGTACTTGATCAACGTCCCTGCATCATAAACATGACATATGAAGGTACAATTTACATTAACATAAAATTATTTTTAAGTAAATAATTCATGTATAACTTATACATATTTTGCATGAGTTTAATTTGTGTATATAAATATAAAAAATCTTACATGTGCTGATGCGCTGCCTTCATTGCATCTGCAGCACCCTTCATAGTAGTAAGTACAGCAGTATTTGTGTTGGCACTTTCCAATGCTTCTCTCTGCATCTCGATGGTAGATAGCGTGCCATCAATTTGCTGTAACTGCTTCTCATATCGCTTCTTTCTTTTCAAGGCTTGAATAGCAGCTGAAAGATAAATGCATGCATAATACTTGATTCAGATTATATATAATACAAATAACAAATCAAGTATACAAGATTATGCAAGATGTAGGAACACCATTGAAGCTTAATATGGGCGTAAGACAAATAAGTTAATTCTGCATAGTAATGGTTGTAAGTGGAAAATTGGAATGGAAGGTATAAGTATTTAACTACTATTGAATCACACAACTATGTTTTAAACCAAGTTCAGTTAATAAAAGGGGGTTGTGTGTGGAAACTGATAAACTGTATGATCAAAAATATCAGTAGAGACAATACGTTCTTGATAAAACACGTAGTTTCCTGTTTTTATTAAACTTCAGTTGCAGTTAGTCAGCGATGAAAATCAGAATCGAAATTTGTGAAAAGCGTTACGTGATTCGTGAAAACAGCGAGAGCCGTACCTCGTTTATTCTTAGACGCGTTTTTCTTCGCTATTAGCATTTCATTGTCTATTTTACTCTCAAGGAACTCTTGCTTCTTTATCAACATATCTTCCGTCTCGCGCAGCTTCTGAATAGCCTCGGCCGTTGACGGAGCGGCTGGCTCCTTCTTGCCGCCAAACACCTTGCTGAAGAAACTCATCGTGTCGGTGTTCTACGATGCACTACGATCACTATAATCTATCGGACGTTTAGCGATTAACCGCGAAACAGAGGAAATATCCACTACTACTGACTGCTACAAGACCAACGTCGCCATGTTCTTTTCGCTTTTGACTTACGCGATACGTCATAGATCTGCTGTGCCTTTTAATTGCGCCCTATCCACACTTTCTGCACCGAAAATGAAATAAATACATATTTACATGTTAGAAAGAACAAGAAAACTGTGAGAAGGAACAGAAAGTAAAGAAAAAGAGTCTCTCATGATTCATCGGCGCTATGTCATCGCTTTGGAACTTCAAAACTTTGCTTGCTATTTTCTTAAAATACATCTAAAGAGAAAATGCAGAATATAAAATCTCAATCGGAATGAGAGATTTTAAATTAATAGTGTAGTAGCATTAGATATCTGCAAAAAGAAGGAAAGACATATCAACAACATATATATGCATAAACCACGTATCCACATATCGCAGAAAAGAACAGCTGCGTTCAGAAGGAGGTAAATGATTTGAATAATATCGATCGTGTATCATGAGTGTTGACCACTGTGTTGACTAAAGAAGTCATGGATGTGCTCTAGTGAATTTGATCATTTTTACGATTTTCACTATGGCAGCATTTCACATAGCGCTCGCAACTGCTCGCAACGCTACAATCATAACGCCGTAAACATCTGTTCCACAGTTCCACTAGACTAGTCGTCTCCCTCTTTTTCAAGAGGGCTGTTCACAGACCTCAAGCTGCCAGAAATATGTTTGTTGTCAAATTTAATTCATTTATTTTATAGGTCGAAACTCTGGGAATTGTAACTTTTAGCCGATTTTTAAGTGATGCAGTGAGAATCTTTCGTCAGGTTTGTATATTTCAATTGCATTTTCTACATTTTCTTTCAAAAAGTACTCCTAAATGAACATACCTCCTATTTATCTTTATCATAACACAAAACAGCTGTTTTTGACGTTCGTGATAGAAGATATTTAATATATGAATAGCAAATGTATCATGTTTTCTATTATTCGATAGGTAAAGGAAAATGAAAAAGAATGGAAGTTATTGTCTACATACTGCCACCTGAATAATACAAAACAAGATGGATGTGATAAGGGATCATCTTCTGGTACCAGCGAAGTATATGATACTGACAGATGGGAGAATCTGTCTAACAGTTCACAGAAACTGGCTTTCTCGGCTGCTCACAGCCGGCCCGTTTACGTTTATCAATCACGATCGACTGTCCAGCGATGAAATTGCGGCACAACCCACTCTTGATAAATTGGGTTGTGATTGGCTGAGAATTTATGCAAAAGTAACTTCATAATCTCTGAAATGTTTAATGCAGAATGTAACAAGATATTAAGTTATATTATTTCGCCATCAGGTATACGTAAAGCAATACAAGAATGCAATACCTTTGCCAAGAGGCAGGCCTACAACCAGCACGCGGAATCAAGCGGAGTTAATGTTCTCGCAATTGTTGCATTATGTAGCTGAAACAAACTATCGGAATTTATGGAAGGAAACGTACAAAAAGTATTACAGTATGTACTTAACAGAATATTTTGCGCTTTTTTTTTTTGCTTTTTAGTTTCATTAACGCAATTTTATAAAACACATGTAGGCCCCTGGAACTTTGTCGAGCAAAAAGAGCAGTCTAACATCGGTACGAATGTGAGTGACGTTGTTATTATGCACGAAGTATTGAATAGGATGTACGGCTGTACTTTAGTACAAGTGCAACACGGTACTGTCTTATCAGTATGCAATGGCACGCTGTCGGAAACGCATTGCAATCTTGTGCCAGTCCATTTTGCAATAGAAACAACGTCCGCCTTCATAATTTTTTATGAACAGACTGCAAATTATTCTCTTCGCGAGTGAGTGCAGCGACGCTATACTTACACTTGTTCCACAAAGATATTCCTGCACTCTATTATTCATGAATATTAATTACAGGTGTGTGATGTACAGTCCTGCTGCTCTTAGTACAAGTCATGGAAAACCATTGTTCGTAGTTTATCAATTACTGAGATTATCCAGAGACTTGCATGATCGTGGTCTCGCGTTGGGAGAAATTTCACTCAGTGATATTCTAGTCACGGATAACTTTACTATTCAGGTATATTTTACATTATATCTGTTCATACAACAGGATGATAGTTAATAGTTGGACGTGAGATAAAGAAAAAGAACATTCCAGCTAATTTAATTTTCAGGTATTACCAAAATTAAGCGATAATATTTATTTGAAACCCGAAAGTGAGTGCATAGTGAGCTCTGCCACTTCTCAAGATGGCAAAGAGAAAATTCCAAATAATAATGCTTACGGCAAGAAAGACGGCACGCCTCAATCGCACAACAGTGACTTCGGTTTGAACGAGAGTATCGAGAAGTTGTGCGAGATGTGGGTGTACAACTGCATCAGCAATTTCGATTATTTGACCGCGCTGAATAATCTGGCCGGCAGGAGATACGGCGATCCCAGTTGCCATCACGTTATGCCGTGGGTGACAGACTTTACGTCGCGGAGCGGCGGCAACTGGCGGGATCTAACAAAGTCGAAGTTTCGATTGAATAAAGGAGACAGACAACTAGATCTCACGTTCGAGTCGCAATCTGAGGTATATAAATTCAGTGCATATTATATACATAATTTTTATCTGCAAAAGTTATCTGTGCTTTTGTTATTGAGTATAATTAATATCAATGTACACAGGTCGGGCATCATGTGTCGGACGTTTTGTCGGAGATCACGTATTACGTGTACCTTTCACGTCGATACAATAAATCCGTGCTTTGCAAGCACGTGCGACCTTTGTGGGTGCCCGGAGAATATCCAGCTTCGATTCAGAGATTGCACGATTGGAGTCCCGACGAATGCATACCGCAATTCTTCTCCGATGCCAATGTTTTTAAGGTAAAATAATATAATTTGCACACGTGACGTTAAATTACGCCTTAATTAATTTTTATATAGTTTTATAAAATAATTTAAATAATTATTTATTACTTTTTTATATTTAATATTGTAAATGATAAATTTATGAAAATAAGATACAGTAATTTAATTAATTATAAATAAAATTAGTGCCAGCAATTGCGGTTAGACTAGTTATAAAAGTAAACTTTATTTAATTTGATATGAGTTAAGAATATAAATTATTATAATTATAGTTGTTTTTTTTTAGCGAAATATAAATTACAATTAATTATTATTATTTGAAGGTGTATATAAAAAATATATTAATCTTTGCAATAAATTAGGATTAGATACCCTATTATTCTTAAGCTTATTCCGGAGACTTGTTTTATTTGCAGTCTATTCACGAGGATCTGCCAGATTTGGAAATTCCAGCATGGGCGACTTCTCCGGAGGATTTTATCGAGAAGCACAGAGAGGCGTTGGAAAGCTTTTACGTTTCGGAGAGATTGCATCACTGGATAGATTTGACTTTTGGCTACAAGTACGAGGCTTAGTTTTATTCCAACGAATTATTAATCACTCCGAGCTTCTAACTTCATCATGCTTTCCTCGCACGACAGATTGTCCGGTTCCGCTGCTGTAAAGTCGAAAAACGTTTGCCTGCAGTTGGTCGACAATCATACTGGCTTAACCAATTCCGGGGTTGTGCAGCTCTTCACACAGCCGCATCCGCAAAAAATCATTCCATCGCCTTATTGGGGCAAAGTACCGCCGCGTCTGCGGTCGGCGTCTTCGACTAATAAAAGCCGTAAGCTTTTTTCGTTCGTCACAAAATTCGGAGTGCGTTCTTTTCTGAAATTGTTTTGCACTTGCAGGGGGCGATCAGTCCGCGAGTAGAATCAGCGACGATGAAGGCCACAGCTCCGGCGTCGAGGAGGAAGAGCTGCCCGCGACGGCGGCGAATGCGTCGCGATCGTCGCCTCTCGTGCTGAGTCGCTTGCTAAGCCGTTCCAGAGGCTCGTTACTCACGGAGGATAACGTGAAGACGGACAAGCCCGTGAACCAACCTATCGTTCTTCCGAAGGACTTCAATCCCGTCGCGGCGATCGTGCAAGTGGAGACCATGCACGCCTTCATGAATAAAGTCAATCATCAAGTTTACAAGCCGGCGGTGGGATCGCACGATCTTTCCGCGAATTACAAGCAAATTGTGGCCAGCGGTCGTATCAAGGAGCAACAAATACTCGGTTGTCTGATCGTGGAGATATTTCTGGCCGGCAAATTTCGCGCGACGTGGAACGTCGAGAAAGCGTCGTTCGCGCGGCGATTCGCGACGTGCCTGAACACGTTGAAGACGTCGGCGGACAATTTACCGAAATGCATCAGAAACATCGTGTCTCTGTTGCTGCAAGTTGATATCATGCCGAAGAGTTATAACATCGGCAATGTGGAAATGAATGACATTTCAACGGTAATATGAAAATTTTTAATCTTTAATGCGTAAATGGGGAAATTAGAGGAAAACTTATTATCTTGTCATTTGTCGAGACTTTGACGTGGCGCTTGATAAATATTAATAATAATTAAAAATTAATAAAGTATTGCTTCTAGCCAGCGTTAGCTAGCGTACGCCACTTTCTTTCAATTTCCTCTTGCGTCTTATTTCATTAAGAATTGATTTACGACAACACACTCCATGTAACATGTTTTGTATTTAGATGAACGAAATTCCCTTTCGTTATCCAACGATAACGTACATGGGCCTTCCGCCGCCGTCCGCGCATCAGTTCCTCCAGCCGATATTATCCAGCAGTCTGTTCCCGTTCTCCAAGTATTGCCAGTATTTATACAATATCGTGGAAATGCTGCAAGATTTCAACGGTTTGACGCGAGAATTGAATTCCATCGTGAAGATCGAGGATGACGCGGACTCTATAGCCAAAACGAAGACGAAGTATCTCTGTAAAATAAGCGAGTGCAAGGTGAAGGCGATCGCTCGCGAACTGGAGCGGCTGCTGCCTTACGCCGGCGGTGCGAGAGAGGCCACCTTGCAATTAATAGTTCCTCACATAGTGCAAATCATGGAAGAGCCTTACAGCGCGGTGTTGGCGGTGTGGTATCTTTTCGATCCCATTGCGAAGTGAGTGTCCCGCGAAGTCTTTCCGGCAAGGCCGCGCCGTTGTGCTTCCTTCTCTCACTTTTCTCATTCTCTTGTCGCAGAACGTTAGGACCGAAGGACACAGCCGACACATTCCTCCCGTCTATCACGAAACTGTACGAAAACGGTTCCATTATGGACACTGCATTGTACATCGACGTGCTGCCTGCGGGAACGCTCGCCAAGTTCCGGACCACTCGGTTGTATCACAGAACATTCCTGTTGAAGCTGATTGTCAGATTGGGGCTGCGCAGATTCTTGGACAATTTTATAAATCCGCTGGTGGAAGCGGTGGGAGGGTACAAGGATTACGTGCAGGGTTCGCTCGGCACGTGCACCCACAGAACTGGGAATCTGAAGTAAGAAAAGGAAGAATTATACCAATGCATATCTATTTCTATTTCTTTCTAAAAAGGGATAAAGAGAGAAAATTGATTGATTAATTTAATCATTTACAAAATTAGAAAATGCACCGCTGTAAATTTAAATAATCGTAAGAAATCACAAAGACCGATCGTTTTGACCGCTTTTTAATAATTCCAGTGTTAAAGTTCCTATTTTTTATACTGCGTGATTTATTTTATTATTATTTTACACTATTTATTTTTAACCGCGCTATAATTTTTGTTCACTATTCACAAATTTCTATGAAGGAGCTGCGACTTGAGTGGACCCTGCAGTGACGGAGAAGGCATCTTATCTCCGCTGGATGAAGATTCATTCGCGGATGTCGAGCACAATGTTGTCTCACCTTCCGCACCGACGCTCAACGATCATGTGTCTAACGTGACGACGGATAACGACGTCGAAGGTGATTAGAGGCGCTATTCGATTTAATCGAAGGAGTCGCGGATAATTGTTTTATCGAATGTATTGCAGAAGTCTTTACTATGGAGACGGAGGACAATTCGTGGACTTCTCTGAACAACGCCGCGCCGTACGACATCGACTTACACATAGATCTCAATTTGAACGTGAATGACGACTCGAACGACGACGGCGGTAAAAACTCGCCGAGCGGCTCGGTCAAGTCACCGACGATCCCGATACCCAAGCAGGCGAACACCAGCGGGGCGAAATTGGTGACCGAGTTCAACAGCATCGGCTGCAACGTCGGCAGCAAGACTTCCAGCGAGGATTTCACATACGTCAACGTGTACGCCACGAATGTCCATTCCGGCAGCAATCTCTCGGAGAGCGTATGCGGCGCGGAAGCCAGGGAAGACAATCCCGCCGCGCCCACCGGCGAGCCCGACGACAAGTGCGACGCCATCGAGTCCGACGGTGGTGCGCATCAGCTGGATCAGATCTATCAGAGATCCACGCCGAGCGAGTGCACGATTTCCGAGATGAGCGCGGAATCCGTAATCTGGCTGTCCCACAGACTCGGCCCGGTGCTCACGGCGCGACACCTGTCGCGCAACCTCCTGAGAATGCTCACCCTCTGTTACGCCGGCAAGGAGAATCTAACCCCGATCGACGACAGCAGTTTCGCGTGCTTCGAGGGTGACGCGTGGAGGAAGCCGATATTGGCCGGTGATCAGAATGCTATCAAAGTGCTGGAGTGTCTCACAGCTATCGCAGGCACGTACAGAAATTCCGTAGCTAATGACTTTACGTAAGAATTATTTATTAAACAATTTCTGAACTTCATTTCATCGCAGGATTATACGGGGAACAAATTATTTTGCTACAGTACTTCGCACATATGGTTGAACTGTTGGCGCTGTGCAAAAGAAAGCTAACGCAGAACTTGGAGGGAGGCCTGGTTTCTTGCCTGGCTCTGTTGAATCACATCACGGCGTATCTCAGCGACTCCGCCGTGATGGACGTGCTTCATGTAATGTTCACGATACAATAATTACTGCACGCTTAATGGGATGACGAAAGACAATTTCACGATAACACTCACTTGTCCGTATTTGGATGCAGGAACCGATCGTTAAATCCATACTGCATCCGACAGTGCGCATACTGTCAACCGCGAGATTCACATTCCCAAATGGAACCCTCGCGCGTGTCGCCTTGGCAGAAAAATGCCTGGAGGCGATGTTCACGCTCAGCCTACGTCTCGGCAGCGTAATTACGAAGAATCATTTAGCGGTGCCGATTCAGCGCTTCTTCCTGGCCTTCGACAAGGCTTTCAGTGAGAATTTCGGCACCGAGGGTCCGTCGGATAATCCTGGGAAGAAAGCAAGCGCAATGTATGAATATTTTGCACGTTTATCGTACAAAGATAGATCTCGCGCTCTAACTGTACAATCGACAAGACCAGTATACAGAAAAAGAAGTATAGTTTTGGAAATAAATGTAATTAATTTTTTTTTTTTACTTTCAAATCAAGCAGTTTTAATCTGAAATTTCTTCAACTTGCATATTTCAGAAATGCTTATATTATTATATAATATTTTATATTATTTTACAGCACGAAAGCTGCGAGTGAGGGCGGATCGGATAACAATGGAGCTTACGTGTGGAATAAGCTTGACGCGGATGTCGCAGATTCGTATTCCCCTCCGGTCTTAGAAAATAGCAACGTGCCGGATTTGCAAAGAAATCGAGTAAGAATCGAATAGCTTTACGCGATTTCTGCCAAACGTGATCATACTAGACTTTACATTTGCACTTCAGGCATTTGAGGAGCTGCGAGCTGTGTTCACAACCGAGTTCGCTCACAAAGCGTACATGCTCTTTTATAGATGCGTCGACAGTGAGATAATAGAGCAGATACTTAAAAATCACGAGCACATACAGGAGCTTTGTCACGATTATGAGCAAGGGGCGAAAGTGACTTCCTTGAACATTGGTATGCGTGAAAATTCTCATTTCCCAATCACTTGTCTTGGCCATTATTATTAAAATTATTTTGTCTCGTTATCGAAGATGCGGATAAGTACAACACGTTGGCTTTCGTGGATCGCGACGTGGCGGAAAGTGCGGAAGCGATTGACAAAGGTGCCTGCAGCTTCGGAAATATATCTGTGATAGGAAACCGCTTCGAGATACAGAAGGACGACGCCAGATCCCAGTCGGCGACGGACGCGGGTGGCGCCGCGAGCCGCGAGACAATCGGCCCGTCATCCGCCGGCAGACAGTTGCGCGGCAATTGGCTGGCATATTGGGAGCACGAGATCGGCCGACCGGACAAGGACACGATATTCAATATAAAACAGATAAAGCTGCAGACTTTCAGCGGACACACGAACAGCATAAGGTGTTTGTACGTACTGGACAACGAGAACAGCTTCATGAGCGGCGGCAGGGACAAAACCGTGAAATTGTGGAGTTTGCGAAGCCAGGTATGTCGTCACTCGACCTGAACGTCGCGTAATCGTGCGTAATGTTCAGCGTTATCTATTCGTATTCGTGCAATCAGGGCGATGGAAATACAGTCTCGTCGTGCCAATACACGTACACCGGCCACAAGAAGTCCATCCTGTCGCTCACGTTTCTGGAATCTCTGAGATACGCGGTGACATGCGACGGCGTGATTCACTGCTGGGATCCTTTCATGGGCTCGCTGCTCGGATGTCCAGAGAGCAGTCGTCCTGTCCCCGTCAACACCTTAGCCTCGAGTCCCTCCCCGTCGACGACCCTTCTTGTGGGCACAACCGACATTACTCTTCGAGTTATTGATTGCAGGACATTCCAGTACGTTAACGAAATGAAGGTAAGCTTCATACATATACAACAGAATTCTGTAATTATTCACATACGCGGGATGTTACTCGCATGTGTTTAACGTGTTAAAAAAGATTCAGAAACAGATTGCTGATCAAATTAAATAAAAAGTACTTAACCAAGAAAAGCTAAAAAAAAATTAATCTTAAAAATAGAAGCAATTGTTCCTCTTTAAGAATTGATCAGTTAACTTTTCGATTAATGTTTATTAAGCAATTTTGGTAAGCTTAACAAGTGCTAGCTGGTGTCAAATTTTGAACACTTTTTTTTAAACACCATGTGCATTAATGTTTGACAGGTTTCTATGAATCCAACTGGCTTGATAAGATGCATCGTAGTGGCACCCAGCGGCAATTGGGTTGCCTTGGGTCAGGCGTCAGGCTTTTTGACAATACTCGACACTCGCACCGGACTGATTATCGCGTCTTGGAAAGGACACGAGTGCGAGGTAATGATCCGCGTAGCTGCCAAGCGACTTGACACGAGAGATTCGATCATTAGTTTTCAACATATTACAGATACTGCAGTTGGAAGTCATAAATGAGACCACTATAGTTAGCTCTTCGTTGGATCAGACAATTGCTGTGTGGAGCGCGGTGGACGGAAAACTCAAATTTCACATGAAGTGAGAGAACTTGGTGTTATTATTTAAAATTAGAGTACATACTAAGTATTCTACCGCGTAACGTTGCAAAGCATTGCGATGCAATCGCGCGAATCACATAATATTACAAAGTATTGCGTAATCTTATCGAGTAAATCTACGTAAATCGTTATCTTTCAGAGGCGCTACGGAGCCCGTTCATTGCATGGCGACGTACGAGCAGGAGTTAGTAATAGGAACAACAGCGAACCGAATTGGCGTCTACACCGCGGTGGAAATGACCGCTTCGTTCTCCTCGTCCAAGTTGAGATCCGACGCTTTCAAAGGCGTTCTTACTGCCATGGCCGTCCTCCCTCTTAATCGATTGCTGTTATTGGGCGCCGACAATGGTGGAATAACATTACTGTGTTGAGAATCTCGGGCGTTATATACACAAAGCGTATGCTGAAATATGAAATGTAAGAAAATAGGAGAGCGACTATGTCGAATTTAACGGAAATGTGCGCGTCGAACTTACTGCTGTACAATAAATTCCATTTTTACAAAGCGTAATCGAGAGCGCTCTCATACGCGTATGATGTCTGTTCTTGTCGCGATCACTTTTAAAGCGAGCTCAGGAGACATTTGGTGCACGCCAATGTCCGCTAAAATCTCCGCCGATGCATTTTCGTCTTTGCCGTTCAGCTCTTCTTGAAGCAGCATTGCTGAACCTATTAAGATATTTAAAAGTATACACGCTTCCTTGATTCTGAAACGTTAAAACGACTGGATTATTACGCACGCTGTCGACGGACGAGCAATTTCGACAATTTCGCTTACGAAACTTACAAAGGAAAGTATAATTCTGGATTGCTGATGTAGAGACCGAACAATGGGAAGAGATTTCTTAGAATATCGTATTGCAATTGTTCAGCGCCGCCGCTGTTGAAGTAATTCACTAATACAACTTCCTCGAAGAGAAACTGCGAAGAGAAATATTTGAAAGAAATTTAGAAATTACTAAAAAGATGAAAAAATTCCATTTCTTCTTATTTTCAATGTTTGTTTACTTGATCGAATTGAGCAGCTAAAGTCTTCCAAGCTTGATCGAACAACGGCCGAGCGAGAGCGTTGTGCAATATGTGAAGACGCGTGGCTAGTTCCTGGAACATGGGGCAGCCGCTTGGCGTTACCGATAGCGAAGCCACTTCTTTCGAGGGCTGCATCGCAAACCACCTGAAGAATAAAGAGACGTAAATTCGTAAGTTTGATAGATCGAAGGCGATTCGACATATCGATTGAAGGTTCGCACTTATCGGTTCTATAAGCTCTGCTCTTTGCCTTCACATCCAGAGCCACCGAGTCGCTGATTTCATTTATCAGTTGCGTCTCCAATCGCCGCAAGAGAACCACAGCTTCGTCGAACACGGTGCCTTCCATCTCTCCGATGCTCTCGCTGACGTCGTTGCCCCTGTCGGTGGCGTCCTCCACAGCTTCGAATTGCTTTTTGAAAAATTGCAGCTGCAAGAAGTGCTGCGCGAAGAACGAAACTTGATTGGTGGTAATTTTCCTTTTTTTTCCTTTGCGCGATACAAAATATACGTACAACAGTCACGCCCCACTCTTCCAAAACAGTTGCAACATAATGCAGCGTGTTGAGAATATGCGGCATGAGCGACGTTAACGGGTCTTCATAACTCTCGTGCAACAGTTGCAGCAATCGTACCCTCCAGTCGTCCACCAGCTCCAATTGCAACTCGAGGAACTGTAATCTTTACAAATAAGTTTTGGTGTAATTTTGCTCAGTTTTTTTTATCGTAGCTTTTTAACGGTTATTTAACGATTTATGTGATGTACGTATTTTTTAGATTTTGGAATATTTGTGTAATTATATTATTCGATTATTCAGAAAGGTGCGCTTCTAGTTTCTTTCTCCACAAAAACGAAATGGAAAAAGATTGCGAAATTTTTTCGGCAATCCAATATATAGCTAATACAACTGTTTATCAATCACCTGTGTCCAGGTTGAGGCAAATGCTTATATCTGTCAGAGATCGTGGTGAGAAGCGTGAGGAATGCGTCCCCGCATTCGGTAACTTTCATATCGTCTATATCGGGTCCCGCCAGTCTTTCCCACGCTGTGCTCGAGCTCAATATCGCATCCATCTTTTCGGTTGCATCTGGACAGAGAACACATTTGTATATATTTTTGAAGTGCGAGACATGAAGTGCGAAATCGCTTCTTTATCACGCACATTTCTTCTCCATATTAATCCATTTGACAAAAATGTGGGCCTGCGTGAGAACAAAGACGGTAGCTGGCTGACTTTGGGGATACAACAGAGTTTCTCGGAGTTCCCTCTCGAATCCCAAAGCTTCGTCCACCAAGTGCGCAAACAAGGTATCGTCATATTGTACAATCGGTAATTCGGAATGGAGCTTCTCAACGGCTAGTTGCACCAGAGCACGCATAAATTCGACCTGTCGATATACTGTAATTAGCAGTCGGGAATAACGAAACCGACGGCTGTGTGAAATATTAGAATCAGCTGATTACCTTTGCGTCCAAGTGCTCGAAACCGATAGAATCCGCCACGGGTTGAACGTTCTTTTGCACCCAGTGAACATGATCCTTAATCCATGTTAATATCTGCGTGAAGAACCATTCCGGCTTGTCTTGTCGGTTTGTCAGTTTAGCTCCTGTGAAATGATAAATGAACCTTTGTCGGAGGGGGCGTGTCAAGAGAGCGATCGGCAAACTAACTGGCGCGAAGTCCGTCAACAACGCAGATGTTACTACAGGTTTCACCATTTCTTCTCTGATGTTACATTAAGAATACAAATAATGTTTTACGATAATTGATTTTAATTTCTGTTGCAAATTGCAAAACATTTGCATTATAAGGATACGGTAGTTGCAAGTGGAAAAGATATTCGGTGAGTGTTTTGAATCTTGTCATTATCTCTGGTAAAGGTGCGCTCATTGAAGTGGCATTGCTCCCACAGAAGGGCCATTTCAATGTCTTCAGTAAATCATTGTACTCCCTGCAAATATTATTTGATTATTAAATGTGGAATTTAGAAGAATTGCAAAAACTGAAATGACCTCATTGTGCACAAGTTACATGTTGAATACACAGTCTTTCAAATGTAAGAAGTAATGATAGATTAATATTCTCTGAACAATTTGGGATCAATTTTCTCTTAGCAAAAATGTTCAAGTCATCATTTATTGCACTCTTTCAATTTTCAACATATTTTTGTAACTAAACTTTAATATGAAAATTTATTAAAGTAAAATTTATTTAAAATTAACTGGAAAATGTAATATTTAAAACTCTTTCTACTGAGAAAAAATTAACATCAATTTTGTTGCAGATCTTCCATTAAAAGGATATCTGTTTAAGTGAATTTTGCAATACTCTATCTATTGGATTGCATATCAAATAAGAAAAATGAGGAGAAAAACGCACTTGGATAATTTTTCCTTGATCAGATTATGCCAAAAATGCAAAGTCTCATGAACGTAACTGACCAGATGATGACATGCAGACGTTTGCAATTGATTACTGATGCTTGTCAATCTTGTGTATAGAGTTATCATAGATTCATCATCACTGGATGACAAGAATGCTTCCATCTCGTCGCTACACACAAATATCAAAGTTTTAATAGATGAACAATAAAAAAAAAAGCTATTTTAAAATGTAACTTTTTACCTGATATTTTCTATGTATTTTATAAAGTATAAATAAGATAAAGATTTGTCCAGCTGGCCTATCTTGTCAATAACTCCTTGCAGCTCTAAATTTTTGTCATTCTCGTTAAATGTCTCCTCAATTTGCTGTCCTAAAGTTCTGGAACTTTCCTGTAGTTGCTCGATTTCGCAGCTAATACGATCCACGTTTTCAATAACTGGTTTAACTTTGGAAGGAGCAGTAGTCGATACCATGGATAACTAAGAATAAAAGAATAATTATTATATAATATTTTGTAAGTTATATATTTTTTAACACATAAATACCTACCGATTTCTCAATCTCATCCTTCTCTGTTTTTAATTGTTCGTGGAACTCGTAGATTCCTTCAAGATTTTTCAGATCTGATTTTAAGTGCTCGTTAAACTTCTGTATGATTTGATGTTTTATGTCCATTGTGATGTATAATTTTTACATCGAAAATTTCAATATCTTAATTGTAATCAAATCATAACAAACAGTAACCTTAACTCCAGCTGTTATACGTGTCAATTGCACACCACCGGTGACGGCAAGCACACAATGAACTATCCTTAAGCTACTATATACTTTAAAACTGTGCTTTAGGTCTAGTGAAAATATGAAACTGCAGTTACACTTCACACTCTTAATAATGTATTCTCAGTGATCGAAAGTGAGTCAACTGTTATTATTGTCATAAAAGTAAATATTATGAATCATATGATTGTGTAGTTATTATATAAATAAGTAATATAATAAAAATACAAATTAATAAAATATATAATTATGATATAAAATAAAATCTCTAAATTATTATCTTTTGCTTAAAAGATCAAACTTAATGTTATCATGTAAAAAAAGACTGAAAAAATTAATAGTGAAAGTCGATTGAGGTTATTCTTAAGGTAGATAATCCATTTGCATAAATTAATATTGTTTTTATTTATCTTGTAAAAAATACTTTAATCTTAGTTCTATTTTAGGTATTGCTGTTTAGAAAACGAGAGGCGAAAAACATTTATTAAAAGAAAAATGAATAGAAAGACCAATGCGTGGTGTGCAGTGCCAGAATGCATGAGTATTCGTGATAATGTAAAACGTCACTTTTTTATATTTCCAAAGGAACGTGACAGGTATGCTACTGCTTTTCAATTATTATTTTTAAGAACATATATAAATTAATGTTAAAATGTATATTTTTAATAATTTTGTATTTAAAAATTAATCTCTTTATGCATTATGTTTCTTTATATATATAGATGGTTACAATGGATACACGCATGTAAAAGGCTAGATTTAGAATTGAAAGGACCAGATTATGCTCATCGTAATATTCGAATGTGCCATTTACACTTTGAGAAAAAGTGGTATACGAAAAAAAACAGAGTCCGTCTCCATCCAGATGCAATCCCAACGATATTTTTTGGTGCGGCTTTTGCCAAAAAGTAAGAACTTATAATTTAGATTATTTTTTTTTTTAAATTGTCTTTTTAAAATATAATATTTCAGAATATATTAATACAAAATAATTATTTTATAGCAATAGTACTTTTGATGATAGAGCCACTACAAGAATATATTTTTTTACATTTGTAATAATAAATTTTTTCCAGAAGTACTGAAGAAGATATACATAAAATAAAAATCGACAATAATCTAAAGACTGAACAAGAGGAAACAGATCGGTAAATATAATTTAAATATTTCATGACGTTGCTTTATAATAATGATAATAATATTTTGTTCTTTTTATAATGACATAGTATTATAATATTATAAATTTTAAATTATACAGATATAAATTTATCTCCAATAGTACAAGAAGGAATGAAAAACGGGCAATAGTAATTAGGCAATATTTTTTTTATTTCTAGTAATAATATGTACAAAATAATATAATAAAATTATATGATATTTTTCAGTAATGTACAATTTTCAAAAGCATCAGTTGATATGGAGATTGATGCTAAATCGTAAGTTTTTATTTCTTACAGTAACAAATTTTTTTTATCAAATGTTATTGTCTTTTTGTTGAATATGTAATAAATCTAGATATTTTATAGGAGTACTTTCAGCGGCACGCAATTACCAACAGAAAATTTGGAAAATAGTCAACAAAGGAAATTACAGATTGAAATTTTGAAATTAAAAGCGCAGAATAAAATACTACTTGACATTGTCAGGCGGCTTCATGAAAAATATAAGAAACAAAGTACAATTTCAGATGACGAAGCTAACGATTTTGAAAAGCTTTGTAATTTAGGTAATATACAATATTATTAGACTTTTTGCAATTTCTATGATAAAATTGTTTCTGCGTATGATATTAATTTTATATTATACCAAGTCTTGGAAAGATGTTAGTGAATAGAAAGAATAGAAAATTTTCAGCAACTTTACTTTTATAATTTTTTTGCATGTCATGTGTTGTAATATATTTACATATTTATATTTCTCTGCAATCTTATTTTAATTATGCTTTTTATTTAGGACTTAACGTTGGTCGCGCCAAGATATATATGGTACAAACAGGTCGAAGAGATGGAGAAAAAATTACATTTAGTATTGTATAAATGTATATTTAATATATTATGCATACATATGTGTTAATTTATTATCTAAGTATGTAGATATTAGGTCTTGTAAATTATAAAAAATATTGATAATAAATATATAAAAAAGAGATTAATATCTTAATAGAAAACATTGTAATATGTCTTTATAATTATAAATATTTTAATCTCGAACCAACATCAAAACATTGCGCATTTTCGACATGATTTTTAAATTTAAAATTTTTGAAATTTATTGCACGGGCAGCCGTGGAGAGCGAGAGTGGCGAAAACGTTGCTGGTGGAATATTGCCAAAAATATTTCTGAATCGCAAATATCTTGATAATGATAGCAGTCTGATTAAAAATATGAAAATGTTTGTATATATATATAAATAGAATTTGCGCTACATTTGCGCCATCTCATGAAAAGAAAAATAGATGAAAAAATACTGCCATCTTCCAGCAAAAAAATAAATGTTTTCTGTCATTTTATCAACTGTTGATTGATAATTATAAAGCATCCTATAGATGGCACGACAAGTACAACTTGTTATTTTTTTTGTTTTTTTGCAAGGATTACTGAATTGCACAATCATTGTGCTTACAATTAACAAACTGTAGCGAATCCATGGACTTGAGCTCATATTGCGATTATACATATATACTTACACATACACACACAAGTGATTAAAAATTATAAAAGAAAAACATTTTAAAAGTAGAAAGGAATAAAGTAGAAAAGAACTTTATTAGAGAGAATATATTCGACAGGTAAGACACGATTCCAATGCCATGTTTTTACTTTCAATTGTTTGAACAAATTGAATCTTTTGTTTTGTAGAAGATTCAATAATATTTTTCATTATTAGTTTCAGTATTTGATTTAGTTATTGGATTTTAGTGTTTTCAATTATTTTCAGTATGTTTGATATTTTTTAGTTTGCACACACATACAGCAAGGAAAATTGAAGAATTTCGACTGATATGACATTCCTCAATATTTATTTGTTATATCTCGTAGATAGTTACATGTTTAAATTATATGGATACAAATCATGGAGACAACCACACGTTGCACTGAGCCCTTATATATTATATACATATACAGGGCACCCAAATATTCGCGAATAAAAATGCCATAGTAAGAAACGTGTCAAAAAATTCAGTAATAAGTGTTTTAATTTTTATTTCAAGTAGATTTTAAGCAGGTTTTAAAAAATATAATCTCAACTTATATAAAACTGGCCGATTGTAGGTTATAGTTCAATAGCTTTTCGAGAATTTTCTCGCTATAGTATTCTGATTCGCGAATTTTGGAACACTTTGTACATGTATTGTGGATAGGTAATTAGGTAAAAGAGAAGAAACAACTATTTTATATCTTTTGTCTTAATACTTGAAGGCACGTATCCACTCTACTCGATGAATCGCGATTGATACGCGTTGGCTCGCAATCGCAATTTGGTACTGTCGCTTGTCGTTTATTCATATTTTGACAATCGATAATCTTGGGTTTGTATTTCCAGCATTTTCTGTTAAGCAACGTGTCGTACACATGCGGATAACTCCATTCTGGACAAACGAACCTAATCTGGACGGACTCTGAAAAGGCATGAATTAGAGCGCATTAAATTGACACACCAATTCAACACTATGTGGTTAGTATTATATCACACACCGGCGTAGATATTAATATCCGACTTATTGCTAATTGTACTCTAACATTATCGTGTAATCATACACGTGATAAATAAAACGCGAAACATATATGCGGGGTGTCGCTCAAAATAGCATGGCATCGGAGCAATCTTTTTTTTTTATTACTTTATTAATTACAATAAAAATCTTCAATGCCTTGTATTTCCAGTTAAACATTTCTCAATTAAAAGCGTAAGATGCGAATTTTCGCGTGTCACAATTGAGTTTAAGAAACAGAGTAGTTTGTTGGCTGATTAAAAAAAAGTTACCAAACATTAATTAACAAATTCAAAGCCGAGCGCGGAGGAAAAGATCCTAAACTGGAAATACTTCCTCTTTTATCCAATAAATTTCTCTGTCGATACAAAAAATTTCGAACTTGATCGCGTTCAAATCGAATGGCAAATTTTTGTATCGATATTTATTTTCGAGCAATAACATTGACGACCGTGTTCCAAAAATGGAATCTTATGTCGAAATTCTCTTTTTTTTTTTTTGAGTATTTACGAAGTCGGCGGGATAAAAAGGATACCTCTCGGGACACCCCGCATACAACGATGTAAGAATCTAACGCATACTTCTACGCTTCTCATGCTACTACGGTTCCGTACAACGAAATAACATATCGCTGTAATCGCAATATACTAATAATAATAATAATAATAATAATAATAATAATAATAATAATAATAATAATAATAATAATAATATATATTGTTCTGACTGTGGGACGGCAGAAGGATAATAAAATAGAAAACCACGTTGCGCCGCACTCGTAAGTATCTCGCCCACAATGTACACCGTGCGTGTACGCCGTAAGATCTCGTCGATTTCGCAATCAATTGCAATTCGCATCCCATCTGAGATGCGCGTTATGTACACTTTTCTTCTCTCTCGCGCGGTAAAAATAAATCGGGGAATCGCTGGTGAGTGTCGTTCGAACGCGGCGCTAGACAATATCGTATGCATCGCGTTAATCGATCGATCTGGCACACATACACACACACACACACACACACATACATATATGCATATCATATATATATGTAGACCGGCGCGCTGCTTAAAAATTGATACAAGGGACACTTGCTAATTATTCGAAGGCACGATGCGTGAATCGTTTTGCCGCGAGAAACGCGATCATCCTACAGGCGAGGAGGAATATCGGTGCGAAGGGATAAGAATGTTGCATGAAAAGAGGCTTGCAACGATGAGGAAATCGAGACAAGAGGATGCGGAATACAGGTGAAAGTGCGGCGCGAAAAGAAATGTTCGGACAAGTTGCTGAAAATTCACGAAATATCTCGAGATACGCACTGATATTCTTCATCGCGTGTAACGCCACCGATTACGGCGGATGTCCCGCGGCGTAAATCTAATAATACTTCAATGAATTACATGTCACGTTACCATCATTTCGGCATCAGTTCTTACATACGTCAAATATATATGACCATTTTTATTACATATATATGGCGCGTTGAAATCGCGCGTTATTACATCTTTGCGCTTGTAGCTCGCTGCTCAAGGAAGAAGAAAAAAAAAATACTCCCCTCTCTCTCTCTCTCTCTCTCTCCATCACTCTTCCTCCGCCTTTCCCAAGATTCTTATTTCTCTCTTCAACGTTTTCGGCCTCGGTTGCAATTAATCGCATCTTGAAACTGTCGCCCTGACATTTCAACAGTACATCGAGCGAATGAAATCTCGCATCGGTAATGATAACTCGTCGTATTCAGGTGTCTCGTGGCAATCGCGTTTTTCGCGATAAAAAATTCGGATTACTTTCAGATGATCGCTCTCACGACTCTATTAGCCGCCGCCAATCGAGTGGAACGGAAGTCGAGGGACGCGCCGGAGAGAAGTATTTCTATTTCGAAGAGCCGTCGATTTCCGGGAGGTGAATTTTCACGAGAGCATCGTACCATTTAGAGGGTGTCCAGCAGATCGAGAAGCTCCAGTTGATTGTTCTCGTCCCAGCCGGCGATCAGTAGACTCGTAAAGTCGTCCTCGCTCAGGCTCACCTGCGTCGTTTCCGGCACCTCCGACAGACTGTCCGGGATCGGGGGCGACACGCTACTGGGCGGGGTCTCGTACAGGGTGCTGGACAAGCAGCTGGTGGGCGGCGTGCAGCTGTTGCTGCCGTTTTGAAGAGCAATGAGCGTCGCCGTCGCCGTCGCCGTTTCCGCCGCCACCGCCGCTGCCGTCGTCGTCGTCGTCGTCGTCGTCGTCATCGTTGTCGAGTTTGTCGCGGCGTGCCTCTTCGAGCCCCCGCGAACCCGCTGCGAGATCGCGGAGCGGCGTCTGGACCGCTTGCCCTCCTCCATCCTCTCGAGATCCAGCTTCCAGAAGCCGCCTTTGCCCGGCTCGTCCTTGGAGCGCGGCAGTTTCACGAAGCACTTGTTCAGCGAGAGATTGTGTCGAATCGAATTCTGTTCCGATGAAAGATGTGAAAGGTCAGTGCTTAACCATTTTTTTTTTTTATGCAAAAGCGATAGAATTGAACGTTATAATTTTTACTTTAACATTAAAAATAGTAAATAGAAAGAAACTAGCGGAGAAAAGATTGTAAGAATCAAAGCGCGGGTGTCGCGCCAAAAATTTTTATTATTAATAAATACAAATTAGCAGTGATACCATTTTGGTCTAATTTTTGCACCCTTTTCAGTCCGTTTTTGCGCCACGACACTCGCGCTTTGATTTTTACAGCCTGTTAGTTTTTTGTTACAAAATAAAAATTCAACATGTCTAAATAGATGTGTGTCTACAAGAAATCATATTTTAGGGAAACTGGAAAAGAAACGGAAAGAAAGATGGAGTCCGCTGTACCTGCCAGGCCGGATCGGCGTATTTGTAGAACAGAAAATTCTCTCGGATCCACGCGTAGATGTTGGAGAGCGAGACCTTGTTGTTGTTGGCGCGCATCGCGAGGCAAATGATGGTGGCGTAGGAGAACGGCGGCTTCGCGTCCGGATCCGTTCGATACTTCTCAGCGTTCTCCGCGAGATCTAATGGAAACCGAAAGAAAATTACTCCCGATTACACGTAATGTCGATTGCGAAATGTATCTATTATTATCTTCGTGTTCATTCGAAGATCGATGCATAATACAACCGCGTAATAATGGCGATCGATTTCCCCGGCGGTCGACTCTCGCCACTCTTCCGTTCTAGATTACCCCCGGGTGATTACCTAATTCGGCCTTGATCAAGGGCGACAGCTTCTTCGGGGGCTGGCGAGCGACCGGCGGCGGCGACGGCGAGCAGGGCGGCGTCGGCAGGCCGGACGCGCTCGTGATGTCCAGCGATTGCAGCCAGGAGAGGCTCGTGAGTTCGGCCTCGGCACCATCGTAATCGTCCGCCGTGCTGTCCATGCTGCCGCTGTCCACTGCGACGGAGACGGCGGGGGTGGCGGGCGTGCTGTCCTCCGTCGATACTTCAACTTCCGCCAGGTCTATCCTCATTTTCGCCGTCTCTCATTACCCGCGCGCGATGCGAGCGCGATAAGCGCCTGGAATGATTGTGCGAGCGCGAGTTTTAGCTCGGAGATTGCTCTCGCATTTAGAAAATTCGGCGAATCGACGAGTTCGCGGACGATTAAATTATGCAAATTTGTACTTTGCAGATGGACAATGGGTGCGCGGATGATTTCGCTCGATCCGGATAACGATTCCTCCCGCGCACTCGAAAGTCGCGCGATGCGCTTGTTCGCAGGTGAATTGATGCCGAGCTCCGATTGCGCGCTTCCCGGGAATCGCGCACGCGGTGTCACGATTTTATGATTCACTAACTGATTGAAACGTTGCCTCTGACGTCACGGAAACGGTACAGTACACCATTTAGTGAGAAATCTCCCCCCTTTTTCTACTTTATTTCACGCGGTTCGTTTGCAGACTGACTTTGACCGAGGAGACACGCGGCTGCCGGGAAGGAAAACGCATTTTCCTCGTCGGACGATGCGTCACTCGTCGACACTCGTACGTGGAAGGAGAGGCCGCAGCATCGATCACAATAACGGTGCACACGGCGGAATTTCGCGGAAATCTCCCGAAACTCGCCGTGCCGCGCGTTCGTTGAGTCGAAATTGCTTTCACCACGTCTCCGAATAGCAATAACGTACAAGCGACGGCTGCGAGATCGTGCGTGCACACGGCACGGTCGGACGGGTTCGACTGGTGGTAATAAGGGGTGGTACGCGCCGTTGCGCCCCGTTTCTGTCTACCTGTCTCGCCAGCGACCTGACGGTGGCACCTACGGTGCGCGCGTGCGGTGACAGGTGCGCGCACGGGTCCCCTTCTGCACAGGTGGACCATGTACACGCGCCAGGTCGACCCTCTTTTCTTTTCGTCGACCCTCCCCAAGCTGAAACCGACAGGGGAGCTAACTCGCCCTCCCTCTCGCTGACTCTTCAGCTTGTGGCGAGCAGCGACCGTCGAAATATTTCAGGCCGCAGATGACGTGCAACGATAAAAACAACGTATTAATTGAATTATACATCCAGTTACGCAGCACGCATCAAGTTCTAAATTTCTAAGAAAGTTAGCTTTCACTTCGATGAAAAAAAATATTCCGATTTCCTGAGCGGCGACGAGGCACATGTGTCGATATCAAGTGTAGATTGTTCGGCCTTGAAGTAACCGAAGTTTACGTATACTTAAATCTACTTTAACTCGAATATAATTTTCAATTTCTTTGACTAGAAACTTAGTTTTTTTTTTTTTTTTTTTAAATCAAAAATATGTAATTTATTTATTTTAGTGGAGAAAACGCTTAATCTTGCTTTTTTTACAATATTGATTAATTAATTTCAGGTTTTCCGTAATGTTCTAATGAATTATCCACGGAGATAATTTTGTCAACCCCCCCGGACGAAGGGAGGCGGTGATACGCGCGTTTCGTCCTGTCTGGCGTTGTAGGCGGGGGTGGACGCGCTTCGCCCAGTCGCCTTGGTACAGGTGCCTCCATTGATCGAATCGGGGGAGGCAGCGACCGCCAGTTACGATAAAGGCCGGCGAGAGTTGAAAGAGGGAGAGGGGAAAGAGCCACGGCTATTCGACCAAGACGAGAGAATGGCGCGCGAGATTCACCCACGGGTTCTCATCATCATTGGTCGGCGGTCCGCTGTTGGGATCGTTAGCACGAGAGAAGCGTCGACTCCGAATTAACACGAACGCAGAACATGTCGCGTACGATACGTACACGTAGACGCTTTTGGGCGTTCTGCGGAGAATTGATCCTCCTCTGAACGGGAGGGGGGAAAGCGGCACGATAAAAGAAATGTTTCTGAAAATATGTCCTTAATAAGGATAAGGTGAAGATATTTTTAGAAAGCTCAGTGCTCTTGATTTTGAGATTTATACGAGGAATTTTGCACTGATTTTAATATTAACGTTGGACATTTAGATACAATATTCTTGTTAACTTTCTCGTTACATTATTGGATTTCTCTGACCATGAAAATCGCGTGAATTATAAAAACTTATTCTTGCGTAATGTATAATATATATTTCCTACCTGCGCAACTTGTAAAATTGAAAGCGAAAAGGATTCAGAAACAATATTATTGTCAATATTTCATCTAACGTAACGCGTCGACATTTTTCCGCTGTTACTTAGCTCAGTTTAATCGATTAATTTATTATATTCAACAAATTCTCTTCGCGGGAACAACAAATGCTTCACGCAACTCGTATATTTGCTTTCTAACTATTTGGATTTTTGCAGGAACAAACTCTTCTTGCGGGAATGAAAGGCGCAAGAGGAATTTGGACGGACGCCATCGCTGCGAGGACCTCCC